TATTTTTACTAATTATTATAAAATTAGTATTTTGTTACTTTGCAATTAGTATTTTGCAATTAGTATTTTGTTACTTGTATGTGCAGTTTATAGCTTACTGCCAGGTTTCACAATTAGTACCATGGATGTGTAATTGAGTTTTGTAAGTGGGTTTCTGAAATGTTAAGCCCTGTTTATACAGCCAAATGTTTACTGGAGCAATTGATACGCACCATGTTGCTCATCCGTATGTTATCAAACCCAATATAATCATATGTAGCCCTCATTAAGTACATGTCAAGTTTAGAGTTATGCATAGAAACAGTTTGTGTTTATTCCTAAGTAAAATAATTCAAGTTTCCAAACACTCTAAAATTACATCAAGTAACAAACTTCAGATATAGTTCAAGTAGGAAGCTGTGACAACATGCATAGGCTGCAAAGGAACAAGAAAAGGTTTATTAAATGGTGGAAAAAAAATCCACTTAAATGTCACAATCAATAAGAAGCTATAAAGTTTTAGTTCTCAGAATGGCAGTAGTTAGAGTGTCTATTCAGATAGAATGACAAACGCATCAACCCCAGAAGCAGCACAGCCAGGATAGCCAACAGCCAGCTAAGTCACAACTAATATGAAAACTAACTAGTATTATAACAAAAGAATTTTGTCTTGGGACAACTCTCCCTCTTGGAATATTTGAATTGGAACAAAGATGAAAAACAAAAAAAAAACAGTCCGTAAAAGTGGATATTGTTTGCAATGAAGAGACGTTGAAAACTATGCATGTTCACATCCGATTTTATTTTTAGCATTTTACCCAAGCCCAATGGCAAGACAAATCTGCAACATTGCTCAATCATTCTTATGACCCCTCCTTCACAACTACTGACCCTTTGGTGTAGGTGAGGCCCTTGTAGACACCGCTGGTGTCAAACCGAAGCACACTCCCATTCCTGCAGGTGACTTTAACAGTGCCCTTGTATGGAAGATCAACATTCGCATGACCGAGTGTGATGGCAACCTCCATGGTCTTCCCTGCAGGGACTTGGATCTTGAATGACAGCTTCTCCGTTGTCTCCGTTTTGTTCTCCAGCTTATAGGTGTCTTCAGTTCCCACTGTCCAGCTGAACCCAGTGGAAACCTCAGCTAGCTCCGGGATTCCTGCCTTCACTTGCATGTTGAAAGTGAA